GATCATACTGAGGTTAGACAGAGACATGGTAAACAAATCTTTATAAAACCACTAAATTACATATCAACTACCTGGCTGCCCACCCCCCCTATTCACTTTTTCATCCAGACCTGATCTTACTTCAAGTGAAGTGTCCCTTTGATCTTTTGTATGGTAATATTCTTTTGATTTTTACCCTTATTTTAGTCTCATTCAGGTTTGATGGTAGCTTTATATTCATGTTTCATATTTATACACCTTTACAATCACTTACTACTGTGGATACATTTCTATTTGGGGTGGCTATCCAGGAAGGCCATATATCCATCCTTTCATGATGGTCAAGTTTATGAGAAGGTAACGGAATAACATATATACCTGTCATGGGGTTGTTTTTGTTATTGCGTATGGTTAGTGCATATATCCTATTTTTTGTTCCCTCTACTATGATCCTTTTTTTCTGGTTTTCCATTTTTAGGAGGTCATTCTATTCACTGTGGTGGTCACCAAAACATTTTTTGAAGAATGTTCCCCTTATGCAGATATATGGAAAATATGGAATCCTTTGATCTGGTAGTTAGGAACTTCATTGCCCTATGTGGATTCCTGATTGCCGAATACTATTAGATCTGGAGACGCCAAATGTTTTTAATTCAGTGATTTTATAAAGACTTGTTTACCATGTCTCTGTCTAACCTTAGTATGATCCATGTGATCGAATAAAACTTGTTTGTTAATACTTATTATATTACTCCGCTTGGATTTTCTAATAACCACTCTGTGTGAGCAGTATTGCACTCGTCATACTGCTATGTTTTATGCTACAAATCTTTCTCTCTCTTCATGTAATCCCAGACAGACGTAATGATGTTCAGATCAGTTCTCTGTGGAGGGCCAAACCTTCACTTAAAGGACTTTTTTTTATTCTTTACACAGAAGTCAATTCTTAACGACATTGACTAAGTTTGGGGGTCATTGTCCTGCTGTAGAACACATTTGGGGTCAATCACACGCCTCCCTGATGATATGGCATGATGGATAAGTATCTGACTGTATTTCTCAGCATTAAGGACACCAATGATCCTGACCAAATCCACAACTCCATTTTCAGAAATGCAGCCCCAAACTTGCAAGGAATTGCCACTATGCTTCACTGTTGCCTGCCCACCCGCACGCCAAATAGTTTAAATTTTGACTCATCCGTTCAGCGCATGTGCTATTTTTCCATACATAGTTGAGTCGCTTAGGCTAGCTATACATTATACAATTTTCTTGAGATTTTTGCTTTAGATTTACAAAAACATATATAATAGGAGGTCAAACCTAAACAACACTTTCAATTGTATCCAATTAGGCAGGCCCTTGCACTACATAGTTGAAGGTAAATCTAAAGGAAATTGGGAAGAAATTTAATAGAAAATTGTATAATGTATGGCCAGCCTTATTTCCATGTTAGAAGTATGTTTTTTTTTTTTTTTGGCAACAATTCTTCCATGAAGACAACTCCTGGCCTGACTTCTCTGGACAGTAGATGTGTGTACCTGGGTCCCACTGGTTTTCACCAGGTCTGTGCTGATGGCACTGCTAGACATCTTCCAATGTGGAAGGGAAGTAAGCATGAGGGGTCTTTCATCTGCTCAATGACCACTGATCTACAGTTGCCAGTTTCTTTGTGCCTCTTCAAAAGAGCTTGAGCACCAAATTTTGAAACTCCAGTCTGCTTTGAGATCTTTGCCTGGGAGAGCTCTACTTTGCTGATGCAATATAACTACCTTGTGTCTTGTTGCTCTGCTCAGTATTGCCAAGGTGTATGACCTTCGTAGCAAAGTTAGGCTGTTCCTCACCCAAGTTTAAGCCTCCTATACCGTTGTTTCAGTCAATTACTGTGTTTCAACCCACATATGCAATGGATTATCATTATCCCCTGCTTGGTATAATTGGTAATAATCATACACTTGACTCTAATCCTACAAAATCCCTGACTTTGTGCAAGTGTAATAATTGATTCTGGTTTGAAGCCAAAGGGTAGTCACACCAAACAACATTGATTTGATTTAGATTTTTCTTCTGTTCGCTCACTTTGTATTTTGTAACTTGATAAAAATAAACAATTATATAGATTTTCAGAAGCATTCTTACTTTATGGTATTTCTTCACACCTGCCTAAAACTTTTCCACAGTACTGTATGTCAGCAGAGTAAATGGTCACTGAATACCCTTAAAGCAATCCTAACGCCCAAGGGGGAAACAAAAGTTGCTTCCCCTCCCACAAGTAAAAAAAAAAGGTATCTGTACTAAGACTATGGAGGCTGCAATGGAATGCCACAATATCATTCAAATACAGGGACTTCAATATTTTTGGAGGCACTAACCTTTAAACAACTATGATGACCCTGAATTCCGACTTAACTCCTAATCGGTATATTTGTTCTGGGTCAGTGACTCAAAGTATCAAACACAGAGCAGGGATATGCAATTCCTATAGCCCAATGCCTGGGACATGCAGTTCCCAGGAGCTGGGCAAGAGGTTTTTTCTTTAATTATTTAGCCCTGCTGTCGGCAAGCAGCAGGAATTAAAGCCAACAGTCAGCTCTCTTGTAAAAGAGATACGAGCAGCAAACTAGCCACTGAATCGCTTTTACAAGCAATGGAGGGGACATCCCCCCTTCCACGGGCTGTCGCGTTTCACCAGGACACCCAATTGACCATCTGGCGCTAACGCCAGCTGATCACAAAGGCGGACAAAGTCAGGAACCACTCTATCCGCCTCTAGGATATTAGAAACAGGAAGCGATGAGCATATAATCACTTCGTTTCCCTGGTTTAAATGGCGCCATTTTTAAAAATGGAAAGCATTTGATCTTGTCTAGGCCTTATTGACCCCAGATCTCTCGATAAAGAGCACCTGTCACTGCCTATTGCTGTCACAAAGGATGTTTACATGCAAACAGCAATCTGCCCACACATTTGATGCATCACCGTGAATGTCAGATCATGGGCAGTAAGTCTAGCACCAGACCTCCTCTATAAATCTAAGGTGGTAATCTGTAAAAGCTTTTAAAGCGTTGCCTATGGATAGTAATTTTTACCTTGTTTTTTTAGCACTGCACAGTCATGCGCAATTTTTAAAGTGTGACATTTGTTATCTATTTATTCAGCGTAACACCATCTTTTATATTTTACTAAAAATGTGGTTTAGTATTATGTTTTTTGCATTAAAATTTAAAGAAAAGTGTATTTTTTTTTTTCCCAAAAAAAAAATTGCATTTGAAAAACTGCTGCGCAAATACCGTGTTATATAAAAAATTGCAAAAAACTCACCAATTTATTCTCAAGGGACTCTGCTTTAAAAAAATATATGTTTGTGAGTTCTAAGACAATGTAGATTGGCATGAGGGACAAGTAGATTGGAACCCCGATTTAGTCTTTTGACAAGTCATTCTAGTATTCTGGAAAAGTGGTACACATAGGCAGTCTCTGCATATTCTCAGTACACGGTTTCTTCAAAAGCAGCTCTAAAATACTTAGCTGTTAACTGGAAACAGTTCCTTATGGGTCTCATGGTGCAATGCCTCTGTAATTTCCTTCAGGGTAGCCCAGGACAAAAACTTTGTAAGAGGCAGAGGCACTGACTGAGTGCTAAAAGCTGCTAGCAATAGGTGCCTCTTCCTCTGAGAGAACATGACTGTCAATAGGCCCAGAAAAGGCAGAAGCAGTAGACCTGGATGTACCACTCAATAAGTGGGTCATTGTTAGGGCTGGTAGTACACTTTGTAGTCAGGTAGTAATAAGAGTGATGGAGCAGTAGTACTACCACACTTTTTTCTAGCTTTTTGATAAGCTCTAAAGTCCAAATCCAGAAATTATCAGAAAAAAAAAAAAAAAAATACCCTTGCAGTAGGAGGCCCCTGCCAGGATTAAATGCTTGTTAACACTGAGGAGGCAGGCAACAGTACTCTCCTCTGCTGTGGCTTTTGGCCCTGCATTGCACTTGAAGATGTCATTGTGCAACCACCAGCTAGAGAATTTGAGAGAGCAGGCTTCGGAAGACCTGTCGCACAGCTGCACAGAGTATGCCAGAGCAAGTTACAAGTAATATACACCTCCTCATCTACTAAATTTTACAAACCCGTGCAGTGCAGGAATAAACCACTGCAAAAGTTTTTTTTTTGTATTTCCTGGAGTTGAGCTTCAGGAATTAGAACTCTCTTCATTGAATAAGGTCATATAACTAGGAAATGTGGATTTGCATTCCAATACTTTACTGCAATGTCACAGATTTATTCTTGAATCTTCGATCATTCATGTCACGTATAACTGGCCATCACCTGTCAACAAAGTCACAAAGAAATTCTTTCCATGCCAACATAGATTACTGTGCTCCTAAAAATACATTCAGGTTGTGTATTTTCAATGTTACTTTTTTATGAAATGTCAATAGAAATGTGCTCATTGGTAAAATAACTCTTGCAATTAAAATTATATTGCATAAACTAAAACAGACCAGTCCAATGTTTAATTTTGCTGAAACAAGTCCAACGCAATTAATGAGGTCAACAAACTTTCCTCATTCAGCAAGCATTTGCCTGAAGAGCCCCTAACATGTCCTTAAAAAATATATATATATATATTTATAGAAGTCCAGCTTAACTTATGTCAGGCTTTTATTTGAGTCCAGTAAAAGCTCCATCTTTCCTATGAACACATAACGGTGTGTGCAATTCAGGTCGGATGAAGCTTCAGTGAGATTCAGGTGAACCAGTTTCTAATTTCTGAAGTCTTCGTCGGCGAAGTTCTGCTGCATCTGGTTCTTCTATCGATGAGTCACCTTCAGCGCCATTTGAGATCTCCTCGCTTGCAGATTCAGGGGTTACTGTGAAAAGAACAAATTATTACGTTTAACAAACTTTAATGAGCTATTTAAATTCTTTGATTTGGAATATTTCTAAAGAAAAGAAAAAAAACAAAACAAAAAAAAAAAACACAACACCTGTCTCATGCAATGGCCCAACACTGGTCACCTCTGATGGTGCATCTGAAGGAGTTTCTTCAGTGTGACTAGAGGAAGCCGTATCTGTGGGTGCTGGTGGGGACTGTGCAGAAGGGACTGGTGGACGAGGGGGGCTGTTCAGAGGAAATAAATGCTATTACAAAGTGGGAACCAAGTAAAGAATGAATATTATACATATTCCTTTAAAGTTACCCATTACAAACCTAGGAAATTTAAAGAGGACCTATCCTCTAAGTGAATATATGTTATAGGGTTTTTAAAAAGGTAGACCCAAGTAGTACCACAACAATAAAGCAAAAACAGGCCACCAAGAATGACACAAATTACCGGTGTCATTAGCATATCTCCGACTCACTTGTATAAGTGTGGATACAAAAACCCAAAAACTACATACTAAACAATATGGTAGTGTGACAAGAACACCCCTACCTAAAAAAGCAGGTTACTAGATGATCCACGCGGAGTAATATGAATTCAAAAGAATTTTTTAACAATACTTTATTTGATCACATAGATCATAGGGAGGTTAATCATAAGCACGGTGTACATATGAAAAAAATAAAATCATGTTAAAAAACACTTAGCGTCTTCAATTTAGGGTCATCTTAGCAAATAGAGCACCATATAAGGCAGAGTTGTGTAATGATGCGATAGTTATCCTGGGTTTCCCACTTAAATTCGAGTAAACCATGTGTTCAACAGATGTGTTCCCCATATGTGTCAGGGACCTCCTGGAATGTAAGAGCTGGAACACAAAAATACATATTGTATGTATAGGAATATGAAAACCAATTCACATCCAAAAATCACCAGGCCTCCCTCCACATTAGTCAATGGATACTACTATTACCTTCTCAATAATGAGACTATCATGCCCGCTTCTCAAATGTAGGGACTTCCTGGATACAATACTACTTGGGGTGGCTATCCAGGAAGTCCCTACATTTGAGAAGCGGGCATGATAGTCTCATTATTGAGAAGGTAATAGTAGTATCCATTGACTAATGTGGAGGGAGGCCTGGTGATTTTTGGATGTGAATTGGTTTTCATATTCCTATACATACAATATGTATTTTTGTGTTCCAGCTCTTACATTCCAGGAGGTCCCTGACACATATGGGGAACACATCTGTTGAACACATGGTTTACTCGAATTTAAGTGGGAAACCCACGGAAATCCAGGATAACTATCGCATCATTACACAACTCTGCCTTATATGGTGCTCTATTTGCTAAGATGACCCTAAATTGAAGACGCCAAGTGTTTTTTAACATGATTTTATTTTTTTCATATGTACACCGTGCTTATGTTTAACCTCCCTATGATCTATGTGATCAAATAAAGTATTGTTAAAAATTCTTTTGAATTCATATTACTCCGCGTGGATCATCTAGTAACCTGCTTTTTTAGGTAGGGGTGTTCTTGTCACACTACCATATTGTTTAGACCCAAGTAGTACCCTGAATAAAATCAACTTATACCCTAAAGTCCTCCTGTAAAATAGCAATGCTCTTCTTGATATGTGATCATGCATACGCTGTTCTGCAGCCTAATAGCTGTGTATCTGCAGTGTAACATAATATAAAAAGGTACTGCTTTAACTGCTAGTCTTAGGGAATTTGGAGTAAGGAACATGCAGGGCAAGAATTTCTCTGCTTCTTTTATACTGTGAATCTATGAGGTTGATTTACTAAAAGGCAAAGAGACTGTCCACTCAGCAAGTGCAGTAACTTCAGAGCTTAGTAAATGATGTAAAGCTTCACTCTCCAAAGAAAACCTAATTAAGTGCAAGGGAAAAAAAAATTGGATAATGGAAGTCAGCAGTGCTTCTGCTCAAATACTAAGCTCTGGAGCAGCTGCACAGTCTATTTGCCTTTAGTAAATCAACCCCTATGGTTCCTCCACCTCTCTTGTTGCTTCTTGACTATTGTCCCCCACCAGTTATCAAAGAAGCAGATCTAATACAAGAAAACAGAGCCCTGCTCCTTTACCAAGATGACCACCTCCAAACAGTGTAGAACAAGGTGTGGTTAGTCAATATTAGGTAAAGGATTAGCTGCAGGAAGCCTACTCTCAATACTGCTGACTAGTTATTTGAACTTTGCTGGGTTTTGTGGGCACAGCTTTCTACACTACAGGTCCTCTTTATAACCTGTGACAATAGAAATGTGGGAGCTGCACTGGTCCCTTGTTTCTAAAGGTGCAGGCTCCATGGCGGTCATCCTGATTTTGACGCAACTACCTTAGTGAGTCATCATCGGGCTAGAACAAGCATGCAGCTACCAAAGTCTGAAAAGTTTAAACACCAAAAGTGCACCTTTTTTCTAGGTCGGTGAGTTATTCAAGTATGGAAGTCAGGATTAAAAGGCCAAGTTCACCTTTTTATAATAAATGCACATTTTTTTAGGGGGGGAAAATGTGCATTTATTATTTTATTTTTAGGAGTCTGTAAAGCATTGCATCCATGATTAGCAGAATTGCGGGTGCAATGCAGGGCTCCTGCAGGTTGTCAATGTATCTCTCTGCTCGTACCTAATAAGGGCAGGCAGTTAATCAATGATAGGAAGTAGCAGTTCTCATTCAGAGCTACTAGCCGTCAGCTGCAAAGGCTGTCAGGACTTGTAGTTCATTCATTCACAGACCTCTGTGAATGAATGACGTGGCCGTGTGGGCAGAGCCCTGCATGGCTGCTTTCTTTCAAATTGGGACAGCAGGTGCGGGTGTGGGGAGATCTTCGGCCTGCTGTCACAGCAATGGCAGCTCCCACATTTCTGTATCTTAAGTGAAACAAAAAAAAACCAATTAAATCATGGGACGTTGCCCTAGAAACTGCAAACAAATGAAATTTCACATTGGAAATTATACATGGTATTTAGTTGCATTTTGATAGTTATCACACTTGATTCTGTCTACTCACTCCTATAGATTAAAAACAGCCGAATGTTCACATCACATGCGACAAAGTACACTGAAGGTTGCTCTATTTTTACTAAATTAGGAATATTTAAAATAATGGACTTAAACATTTCACTGCTCACCCAATGCTTGCCAACACGGTTAGGTATTGGTTAATCTGTAGCATTGCAGCATCTAGAAGGGTATGGATATTTTGCAGACACTGCAGCCTGGCTTCCAGGTTTTGTCTTTCATGACCCTCCATTGCCCTCAGCTCCTCATCTGTTAAGCCTGCAAAGCCTGCAGGAGGCATCGGCATTGGTGGAAGTCCTAGGACACAAACAGAAAGCGTCAGTACCAGCCACTGATAGCTCTATAATTGCTCAAACAACCAGCTGTGCATGGCAACTTACCAAATGGAGGGAAAATGGGCATCCCCAAAAATGGAGGGGGAAATGGAAACCCTGGCATGGATGTCCCAGCAGATGAGTCAGAGCCACCTGCAGCTGCACCTTCACTAGGTCTGGCAGCAGATGCTGTGAAACAGAAAGATGACAATTTACTCAGTGTTAAAGAAATAAATGAAGCAGGGAAAAGGTATATGGTGGAAGTAGAAACTCCACTGACAACATTAGAAAATATAGACAGGCCATTTAAATATTACTCTTATTGTCTTAAGGCCATCGTACAAAGCTCAATTTTCTCTTGTTCAGCCTGCGGGGCTGCGCAAGAGAAAAATCAACACATTCCCCCATCACCGTTAACAAATGTAGATATGTAAAGCCAAAAAGATGGCTCTCCAGGTGAGTGACCAACTCTCACATGTGAGCTGGAACACAGGGTGCTGCACAGCTCATTTGTGAGATTCAGCAACATGCGAAAATCCGGGATCTTGCTGCATTCTTTATTAAAGCATTAAAATGACATCTCGGGTATGACAGGAACATCAAAAAAGGTGAGTCGTTTCGGGTCAAATTCAGCCCTTACGCAAAGCTCATATGAGGTTTGAGTAAGCGCTGAATTTAGCGTAAAGCGCGTCACCTTTTTGATGATCCTGTGATACCTGTGATGTAATTTTAATGCTTCAATAAATATACCAAAGAGTGCAGCAATATTCTGGATTTATGCATGTTACTAACAATGTAGGTATCTTCATATTACAGGCAAAATCCCTTTACGAAGGAAAGGGAGGTAAATCTTTGCCTAGGAAAAAAAACAGATATTTCCCCTCCATTCCTTCTCTTGGGGTGGTCACCAAACCTGGCTTAGAATTTCCAGCTGACCAGGCAAGTATTGAGGACATCAGAACATACAGCAAGTAATTTAATAGTTGAATATGATTGTAGGGTTGTCTTGTCAAGCAGCCAATATAATTGGGTACCTTATTTTTTCGGAAAACCCATGTGGCAATTCCCTCCACTGACATTCTGTACCCTCTTATTACAGTCAAAATCTCTTTCAGGAGAAGGGCAGAGAGGAGGGCTCTGTAACTGGGTAACTTGCTGCAAGTTTAAGCCCAGGCCAACACAGATCTTTCTCTCCAGCCTCCGAAGTAGGCTTCTATATGATACCCAATTACATTAACTATTTTGTTGTACTTACATAAACTACTGCAAGCCTACAAGTTAATTTTAAACTACAGTTATCCTTTAAAATATCTTTATTCAGTAAGAAAGTGGAGCTGCGTACTCTCTGACAACTCTTAGACAACTATTACTCAGAGTAGCTTCTAGAAAGCTAGGTTATTTTGAGTTGTTTGGCTTTCTATGGTGTGACACAGCCCTGGCTTTGAAAACCGAATGATGGGTATCCAAATTCACAATGTGCCATTCATCTCACAGACCCCAGGTACCATGGCTTCCTCAAAGTTGCAAGCAAAAACTCTGAGGGTCTGCAGTGGAGAGAACATCTACTGCATGGTTCAAACCTCCAAGAAAACACGTTTTCTAAGTTCTTGTTAAAAACTCCTTGTATACATTTTTTCATTGCAGAAAAAAAAACATAGCCAGTAGCTTACCAGTAGAGGGTCCTGCATTTGCTGCTTCTTCAGGGGCATTGGCTCCAGGAGCTCCAGGAACAGGTGGGAAAGGACCCAATGGGGGCCAAAGAGGAAACATGCCAGGTGGAAAAGGAGGGAGCATCCCAGGGGGAACTACATAGAAGTGGAAATGAGAGAAAAAAGAGGAAACACAGTGATTGCTTTAGCAATAGTCAAAGACCATGAACATTGTAAAACCTAAACAGGAATAGAGTCCTGGGGCATGTGGTTTGACTTACAGTTGGGCTGTGGAGGAACAATTGGTGTTTGTTGTGCAGGAGCAGCATGTGGCTGCTGGGCAGGATCAGGCTGGTCAGCAGGTGCTGGTGTCTGAGCAGGGAGGGAGGCTCTAAGAACATCCATGCGGCATGTAGGACAGGTCTGCTGCCTCTGGAACCAGGAACGCAGGCAGCTAAAGGAAACCGCACAATTAGATTGATAAAGCAGTGTTGAAGAAAGAAAAAAACAAAACAAAAAAAAAAACTGTGAAACATGCTCTTTTATCCCTCCTTTATGCACACTTTAGGCAAGTACAAAATATAATTCACCCTTTACTTATTATATCTGCATTTCAATTGACTATAGCTAATTGTTTGCAAGCGTTTACCCATCTGTAACCAGCTTTACAGTAATTTGTTAGTTTTCTTTCATTCCGCCAGAAGTGGATGGAGGAATCCCTCCCTGTCCAAACACTGTATTCTCACAGCTGGACTTGCAACTGTCAGAATACAATGATCAGCAGTTGCAGCTGTTGACTGACAAAAGTTTTCCAGCATGCCCCTTCGATACAAGCTGATCAAATGATCAATTTCTGTCAAGAAGAGAAGGCCACACACTGACTGAAATTTGGCTGGTCCCTGCTAGGAAAAAAAAAAAAAAAAAAAAAATTATGGCAACATTTCGATCAGTCTTAGCTAGCTTAAGAAGCAAACTAGTAAACCCATAGCAACCAAAAAAAAAAAAAATCAAATCACTCTTGTACTGGTTGCATTGCATCTAGTTAGATCCGATTGTATAGGTTACTGCACATAGTGCTTTGCTTATTGAATAAGCCTGAAAATTATTATTGTCAAAAGGTCAGCTTTCTAAACAAAGAATAAATAAATGATAGTGTATTCTATTGGGTGGGGCCCATACACAAATGGGCCACAATTAATGAGCATGCATGTTTATTCATCTGCATAGTATTTATTTAAAGTGGTTGTAAAGGCTCAAGGTTTTTTTTTTTGTTTTTTTTTTAACTTCATGCATTCTATGCATGAAAGTAAAACCTTCTGTGTGCAGCAACCCCCCCCCCCCCCCCTCCCCACACCAAATATCTACCAGAGTCCAATCTCGATCAATCAATGTGCACAAGAGTTGCGGCTGTCCCAGGTCCTCTGCCTTTACAATTATTTTAAGGCTGACCTATATTCTCATTTACTACATTCTTTAGTCATGTTTTTAACCCCCTCCTTTAACAAAAACATATTTAATTTTAATACCTTTATCATGTTACTGTTCCCTCCACTTCCGCTTTTCTCACCTTGGCGAAGAGGACATGGTCCAAAGTTCCCACTGCCTGCAGACTTCTGGGATATGGGATCCTATATCCAGAAGACTCCAGGCAACTCCCAGAGTGCTGGCTGCACATCTGCACTGCCAATGCCGCACGTGTGCAATCAGCACTCTAGCTGGGGAATCAAAGTTACTCTATATGTAAATGTACAGCGAGGTCACACTATATGCAGATTTGAATGAAAAGGTGACAGCAAATACATTTTAATTATAAAGAAAAAGTAATCTATATGGAGGAGGCATATACTTGTAAACAGAGCTGCATGGGTTCATGTCTGAAGTGTAGATCTTTACTAATAGTGGTGATGGGAGGGACTATGGATGGGTGTTTGTAGAGTTATTGCAACACTTACTGGAGGGTTAATAAAGTTTTGCCAGGAAGGTTAAAAGTAGCAATGAAAGCATGGTATCCAGATTGGTAAGTGTGGAGTTTAAGTCTAGTGACAGCAGGGCCAAAATGCCACTTTACTATGGTGGGTTTTTTTATTTATGAGCTTTTAAACATCCTACCTGGTGTGAAATATGTGATTACATGGTAGTCTCTTTGCTCCTGTCACCATCTCTTCTCTGCAGATGATACACACATTATCCATTGCCTGGAGCTCTTCTGGAGTAGCATCAGGATACCTAAATATGACAAATCAAACCGTTCACTTTCCACTAGACTACATAAAGTTTTAATGCAAGACCCCGTTTACTGACTTATTACTTACAGTGTGTTCATATTGCGGATTGCTCTTCTTGACATGATGGCATCTGTCACAGCCTTCTTAAACTGCCTGTATGGGTGTTAAACAAAATTTGAAAAAGAACCCGTAGGCCAGAATAAGAAGCACTGATCCAATATTCTATATACTTTGGACCATCGCAGGGCCCATTCACACCTTTGCATTTTTCATTTGCCTCTGTGTGTTTTTGATGCATTTTACATGTCATAATATAAAACTAAGGAAGATGCACTTGCTGGAAACAGCATCAAAATGCAGCAACCAAGAATTTTTACAAAATGCACAGAAATGAACTATGCCCTAAAGCTGGTAGTATAGAACATTTGCTGTATTTAAACACCAACATGAACATAAATCCACAAGTGCTGCTTAAATGGAAAGTTAAGTCTGTAAACTGATGTTTTATAAAAGTTTCTTTATACTGGATTTAATACATGGTAACATATTTCCACAAGGGTTAGCTAAAGCGAGAGAACATCACGATCTCTTTTTTAACTGGAACATTGGTCTGAAATTTCAAACAGAGCTATCTGGCAAAGGATGAGTCACCAGTCCAATGTCTCCTTCAACTTGATCTATTGATTTCTTTAAACATGCTTTTTATAGCAATATGGTTGAGGAACTGTACGACAAGAAAAGAGAAGCCCAGAACGCCATCCGGTTATTGAATAATAAAAAAAAAAAAACCCATTACATACCTCTTCCTCTGTCCTAGAACCTAAAGAAACTCTGTTTAAGACCTAAACTATACAAGTCTGCAACTCAGGGCCTTATTTTCAGTAAAATTGTCAGACTCCTTCAAAATCTGCGTTACAGAGTGAATACAGTCCACCCCCGCAGAAGGAACTGGTCATGAGATTTGGAATTAAAGGACTTTAAAAAGGAGTGTGTATTTTTTTTTAGCAAAAAAGGATGAAACCATTATAATGTCCCCATTTTTATGCAATGAAAGCGAAGGCTCCTTTATTAAAGTGGATCAAAACCCTAGCTCATGTATTCTAAAATATCTATTAAAAGGCCCATGGTAACTGGTCAGTTTTTTGTTTCCTCACCTTAAAAAGGAGATATAAAATTTGGGTTGCAGCCTGGCTGTACCTTTCAGAATTTTTCTCTAGTACCTTACCTCATTGCAAGATACATTGGGCGAATTGCAAACAAAGGAAACGTGTGGACTTTGACCATGATCGTCATGAAAGCCATGTACAGCAAAACTTTTATAAACCCTGAAATGCAGAAAGAACAAAAAAAAAAAAAAAAACACACAAAAAAACACATGATTTTTATGCAGTTCCACTTGTCATTGTCATCAATGTTACACTGAGATAGTTTTTTTCCGAATGGTTGTAAAGGTTTCTGCCAATTAGCAAGTAGTGATGAGTTTGGGTATGTTGAGACTAGGATCCAAACCTACGTGTGCAAACTCGCCAGGAAGCAGTCACCTGAACATGCCGTGTTAATCGGCAGCCAGGGCATTCCTCCCTCAAAGTCCCATGTATACATGCTCATTTTATATGTGCAGCTACAGGGCAGGGAATGCCCCAGCCACAGATGACTGACCCGTACAGGTGACATCTTCCTGGCAGGCTTGCACGCATAGGTTCGGCTCTCAATCTAAACACGCCTAAAGTTCATAACGAATAGCAAGCATCAGGTTTTATACACTTGTTGGAATGAATAAAGACATTGCAGTCTTGTGTCTCTTGCATTTCATGATGTAAAACAAGCTCCTTCTGTAAGAATACAGCTGCAACTACACTGCAAGTTATAATCTCTGTTGGGAGAACACTGCGGATTTTGCTTTTCGAACATTCGCTTCAATCAGGTGTAACTGAATGTAGGAAAACCGCTTTGGTCCTCCATTCCATTTACTGAAATTGATAAGGTTTGCAATAGGCATGGAGAAGCCCCATCTGACACCAACTGCCTGCAAGTGCACCCTCCCTTGTGAAGTGAAAGTCAAATGAAGAGCTTTGACCAAATATACTATCCCTCTGGTCTACTGAAGGAATATAAAAGTTTTAGCGGAGATCCCAGGACATCTACAGGACCAAAGACACCTGCCTAAAGACAGATGCAGGGACCGGACAAATTCTGATCCATGTATGGGAAGGCTAGTTCTACACAAGTCAATCTACTGATCGACTTGTGTACAAAAACAGCCTGTTGGAAAATTCTCTCTCGATCAGCCCTGCCGGTTATAGTCAGTGGTACTGATCAGTGTATTCTGATGGCAGGGACGTCTCTTCACTGTCAGAATGCAAAGATTCAAGGGATTTCCCCATCCATATACAGTATGTGGAAGGAAGAATCAAGACATTTTCTTTCATTCAACCCGCTGGCTGTGCCAATATTTAACCAATATTGTCACTGAGAGACATACCACTTTCTGGTGCAATGAGCCTTAAATGGTGTTTGTAGTCCACAATGTTATTACTATATGCTTAAAAACACTGTCTTCTGGTGGAATGGAAACAACCTCTCAACTACTCCAAGCTAAAGCAGAAATCAACGTTATCCATTAGAACACCACAACTGCGCTACATACCAGTCAGAAGTTCAGTGTATAGCATGTAGACAGCTTTTGTTATCCCATGGGTTCTCACTCTGCAAATCCACAGAGTGAAGTACGTATTTTATGAACACGGTGAGGATCATGGTCATAAGTATGGCATACTGGTGAATAAAGAAAAGGTAAAAAAAAGAGCATGACAGTTAATTACTATATAGTGTATGGTCAGTTAAAGACCTTGTGTGTGAAAATATAGATCAGATTCTGCACATTATCACTGTAATCTTTCTATACACTCAGTGCTATAATATATTTACAGTATCCAAGTTCAATCACCCTGCCTTCTTCGTTATATAGAAGTAAATAGAATGTGTGTATAATCCATTTATGCAAATTTACGTGCATAAAGCATTTTGTGGTACAAATGCAAGATATGTATTCTCAGGGCAACAGAGTTCTTAGGAAACCACTCCTGCAGAAAATTAATATATACAGGACTAGGTCAAAAAAAAAAAAAAAGTTTACAGATTTTGTAATGCAACGTAAATAAGGAGGTACTGTTTAGCATTTAGAGCTTCCTGCGTATGCACATAAAAACTAGTGTGAAGCCAAATCACCATTTTCTCCCAAGTAACAAGTTAGATTTCTGGTTTCAGTTTTAAGCCAATAGGCAAACTCATTTTAAATGTATTTTTTACTATACAAGTCTCAGGTTGGGAATGCTGTTAGACTATGAACTGCATTTCACATAGTCCTTGGAGAGACAGCATGGTCTCACATATTTTTGCAACTGTATGCAACAAAAACCCCAAAACAAAAATTGTTTAAGCAGTATGGCCTTTTTTTGCTGGCTAGCTGGTATGTGTTCCAGGAAAACAAACATTCTGTATTGTTTTGTTCTGTGGACTGCCCTGTCCATGTTCTGCTTACTTTAAAAAGCTAGTAACACATTAAATCAAGGGCGCTTGCCATTTTTGTTTTGCTTACTGGATCTGATGCAGGTACACACTGGAGGTCTTCAGCTACCATTGACCTGTGCTCGGCCTCCGGGGTATCCCTGTAACTTTAAGGATGAGTGGGCTACCTGCAGGCATACATGCCTTGTATTTATTCATTGCTATACTGTATACATCTCAGGTTTGGAGCTCTGACTAAAGTTAGCAGTTGACATTTTTGCTTAGTTTAACTTTTAAACACTATACATGACAGCTAAATCTGACTATTATGAGTTACAAAGACATTTGCATCCTCCAATTTTTAGATCTGCAGTTTATTCTGCATTTTTATTCTATAGTTTGGCTCCCTGGATATCTGAACAGTGATTGCATCATAGGATGTAGAGCCATTGTTCAGCTGACAACTTTTCGCCTGCCTCAGACAATTTTCAAATTGACTTTTGTTGAACTGGATGGTATCGACAGCCTTCCACTGCTCACATTTCGGTAAATTCAGCAGGAAACGTCTGAAATCCGTGCTGTGTATGGCTTCATGGTTAGCACTTTTGCTTTGCGGTGCTAGACACTACCTGCATGGAGTTAGCATGTTCTCCCTGTGGGTTCTCTGGGTACTCTCATTTCCAAAGATACATTGGTAGGTTAACAAGTTCCTTTCTCACTTGTCCCTAGTATTTGTATATATGCAAGTGAGATAGGGACCTTAGATCCTTGAGGACAGAGTCTCAAGTGAATGTATGAAAAATATATAAAGCTCTGTGTAAATTGTTCGTTCAGTCCATCCAATCTATATATACCTGACCAACCCTACAATTTTGTAAAAAAACATCCCTACCTAGCCTGTGTATTACGTATTTACTTACCTCAAAGCCAAAGACTAGCTGAACAGAGGCCCCACGGGTGACCAGACTGTGATAAGCATGAGACACAAAAAGAACATCCAGCACACCCAGCAAGAGCATCAGTGCTGGAGAGAGAGAGAGAGTGACGGGCACAGTAAGTACAAATAATAAAAGAAATACAGTGATGTTCATTATCTCACGGTTTCAAACAAATAAGTAAAAGGGTGAGAGAAACAAGGTTTGTAAATACAAATTCAATGAATGATGCATGATGTAATACTCCTGCAAGGAATATTATGGAAAATAAGTAGAGCATAGACACCACAATGGAGACTGGTACCATGGGAACAGTTTTGACTTTTGCATACAACTGTATTTACTATAAATAAACTTTAAAATACATAACGGCCGACACAAAAGAAGAAGTGATACTGAACTGCTGCATCACAGAGGTTAATGCCATAAGCATTTAAACTGATACATCAGAAAAAAAAAAAAAAAAAAAAAAAAAAAAAAAAAAAGTACCATTAGGCTCGTTCACACCATAGGTGCAGAAAATTTGATGTAAATTGATGACCTTGCAAGTGAAATCTGTACGTCAGTTTCCATCAGTTTTCATGCGCGTTCCAATGAGTTTTATACACGTTGCAGATTCCTGCGCAGAAAAAAATCTGCACATGATATTAGTGTTGTGGTGGGAACAGGGCACATAGAGAACGATTGCTTTTGTTGTACCCCTGCAGAACGGATGCAGAAAAATTTAAGTCTGTGCACCATGGTGTGAACAAGCCCTAAAAGTTCTGAAACATGATAGAACATGAGTTCAAGTAATAGAACTCATGTTCTGTCAGGGGTGGTTTTATTATGGCTTTATGGCAGATCAATCTTTTTCTCTGCAGGTAAGAAGGGAGGAAATTAAAGTCTCTGGCAGTCTATGCAAATTACTGCTCCTCAGCATTACAAAAAAAAAAAAAAAAAAGAGCAGAATTATCGAGAAAAGAGAAAAAGGTGGTGTGAAAGAAAGGGGGAGGCCCTTATATTAACTAGTTCAGCTTCCCTGTGTCTATATACCCCTTGAGGACCGGAGCAACTTTGACATTTCAGCTACTGACCTATTAATGTGGCAAGAACTTGATTGTTACTGAATATATATAGTAGCGTATTTTCAGGAAATACAAAAGATTTTTCATCAGTATTGTCTTGCAAAAAGTATTTTTATTTTATTCATCCTAACAAAGAAAAACAAAAAAAAAAAAAAAAAAAAAAAAAAAAAAAACATGTTTTCCAAAAGTTCGTTTTAATATAATTAATGGTCTATTTATGTTTTTATACAAGATTCACACATTTTGCCAGTTCAAATCAGGTAGAAAATACCCTAGGTGAAAGCTGTGTGAATCATTTATAAATAGACCCCTTAGCATTACTGTAGATAGAATGGGTAAATCGTATTGCGCAATTTTCTCTGTTTCTTATTGCACTAAAAATTACATTTTCTGGTACAATGAATGGCAAAATTATATATAAACAAACAATTTGCCAGAGTGCCCTGTACCTGAGGTTGTATTCACATACTTTTGCACACTTTACACAAATCAAACATTCACAAGGTGTGCCCCATCATTGTCTTGCAGACAATTCTATATAACAGAGTAATGAGTTTGCCTTGTTCAACTCAAACAATCAGTGCTGCTAAACCACAAGAGACTGCTGTTTTTCTGTTATTTTATGGAAAGATATGTCAGAGTGCAGATGACAACTCCATGGATCTGGCTGTAAAGGCTCAAGGTGCTTTACCTTCATCCATTCTATGTATGAAGGTAAAAAAAAAAAAAAAAAAAAAAAAAAAAAACACATTCTGTGTGCAGCAGCCCCTCCGGGGACTCTCTCCTCATTGCCCAAGTCAATGACTCCCACTGCTGTCAATCACAGCAAGTGAGCCAATGATGAGAGAGAGGAGGCAGTGCCGAGCCATTGCTCTTTGTGTGCATGGACACACAGGGCAGTGGCTCAGGAGCAAGGAGCAGGAATGTGTTCCCAAAGGTAAACTTATCCTTTAATTTACACAGAAACCACTGTGTAAACTCCTGTGAGGTACATCCAAGGTATCTAGATGTTACTTAGATTAAGCTTTTTAGGGCGTACTTTGCGTGCTCAAGTGCTGATACTGGTTGCACAACATCCAATATTAAACTGGGTCCTTATTTAATAAAGCATCAACAGTGAAATAGTAGGAAAACATTTGTATCCTTTCTTTTAGCTTGCTAACTGCATGCAGCCATCTAAAATGCAGATTTTCACATATGAATAACAACAAATATCACCTACCAAGAATACGGAAATGAAACAACCAGGAAATGTTTGGACTGCGTTCCATCTGTAAACAAGAAAGAATGCAATCATAAAGCAAACACAGAACCTGTAGTTATCCCACAGTCCCATCTGTTTACATGCACTCTTGCAAAGTGTGTTACATGATATGGAGCATTACAAAATTTCTTTCCATATTGTCCTACGGATGTTTGCTCATGGCCCATGCCAAGCATAACATGTTATTTAATAATGGTTTTATACAGAACAAAGTTACATTTAAAAATGTAAAAACACGTTATTAGTCCCAAGGGATGTTCCACTTTAAATGGAAATCACCCAATGACATATGACCGCTGAGCTGCCCAATGAAAGTGCAAATCTGTACTTAACATTTTAATAGCACTCTAAAAAAAAAAAAAAAAAAAAAAAAAAAAAAAAAATTTCCACCCCAACACAGTCATATATTATAATTATATAACAAACAAGAGAGCTTGTTGTTTCTACTGTTTCAAAGTCCATCTAAGTGTTCTTTTTATGGTGGGGATGTGAGAGTTGGAATTACCTTCTGTTTCTACATAGAGAAAACACACATCTTTCCAAACCTTTAGCGGTTATCTCCCTTATTAGCCAATTACGTACCAGGGAATCTTACAATTGCTCTAGAATTAACTTTTCCTGGCCTTGACTGATAAAAAACATATGCCTTTAAATCGGTTATGAGAGATATACAAAGGCTACCAATTCTGCCGCAGACCTGTTACACACTAGGGCTAAAACAACTATTCAACATAATCGATTATGAAAATAGTGGTCAACTATTTTCATAAACAATTACTTGGTCAGCCGATTAGTTGGCCTGCATACTGAATGATTTATTTGTTTACATATCACAAAATACAGTGCAGCACACATACAGCTCAGTACACTGTCCATACATGTCAGTAAGTGCCTGAAAGCTGTCAATGTGTAAGGAGCAGCATGTATTCCTGAGCAGGAGAAGGAAATTATTCTAAAAGGCAGAAGTTTTTTAGCTTGTTATAGTTGTATATGCTATACTATACTTCGTGGTTTGCTTTAGGGGCACTTAGAAGGCAGGAGCAGCCAGAAGCTCAGGTGGGGGACCCCAGAAGAGAAGAATCAGGACTGCTCTGTGCAAAACCATTACACAGAGCAGGCAAGTATAATAGACTGGTTGTTTAAAAAAAATAAATAAACAAAATTTAAAATCACTTTAGGGGTTTTGTGCAGGAAAGGTCAGCATATGAACCTAGAGAAGCTGGAGGCTGATAAACTGAAGGTAATATAAAGCCATTACATTTAAATATCATGCACAATACTGGGAAAGGTTTACTATAAAATTGATTATAGCCATGCAAAAAAGTTTCAGCCTTTAGTACTACTTTAATTTAGAAGATTTAGATTCCCACTCCACCCTTCATATAGCCTCATGTCTGACTTACAGTAATGATTATCTGCTGTTTTTGTACTATAAAAAGGGCCAATTTATGCTTTTTTCAACCCCTTTATGATGATAGGCAATTAAAAAAAAAAAAGCATACTGCTGCTACTAAAGGTCTTAAGCTGCACACACTTGGACTGAATATTGGCCAAAATCAGCTAGTACTGTAGAAACCAGCCGACTTTCGGTCCATGTGTACAGCTGCCTGTCTGACAGAAGTTAATCTCATGACCGGCTTCTGTTGAATGAGCATGCTGGAAAACCAGCCGACCGACATCTCGTGGCTGACCAGTGTGTTCTGGTGGGTCCCCCTGTCAGAATGCAATAGCACAGCAGGGAACATCTCATCTGTTAAGCTGGGTACACACTATAAGAAAATTGGATGAAAAAACTCTATACAAAATATGAATGATTGTCCTTGTACAGTGTGTACACAACTTTCCAAGCGAATATTTCCAAAAGGGACAAACTCCAAAATTTCTCGTACATGAGCAGAACGAATGATTTTTTTTTAATGGGTATTGTTTTCAAAGAAGAAAAATCAGATACAAAAGACTGCACATGATCAAAAACTATAATCTACACTAACGTTTCTACATCAAAAAAAAAAAAAAAAAAAAAAGCCTTTTTTTTTTTTAGTTTAGCCACTAGTGTGTACCAGGATTTAAAGTAACAGCAGGCAGAGGTAGCTTGTATCAAGCTACCTGCCTATGACAAGGGAGTCTGTCATGCTAAATATTTTCTTACAGTCTTGTCTGAAAATCTGCAAATCAGCGTTTTAGTTTTTTTTTTTCTTTTTAAAATTAAATGTTGATCTCGGAGTCTGATGATATGTACCAGATTCAACCGCTAATGGCATATACAGTATGTCTCTTCTGTGTTTTATTCTCGGAGTGGATTTGACATTTTGTTTCCTAACCATATAGCTGGTTATTTACATTTACCACTGCATAGAGATATTCAGGAATAAAATTGTCTTTAAAACTTTACATATTAACTAGGATTAAACACCAAATTTTTTTGAAGTTTTTATCCAATTAATCGAAACAATAAAATCGGCCAAATAATCGATTATGAAAATAATCGTTAGTTGCAGCCCTAATATGCACAGAAAGTTGGAGAAAAGTCAAAAGGCCCTGACATGCCAGGATAGCACCAACCCCCCCCCCCCCAAAATGACCCCTTTCTGGAAAGTAGGCACCCCAAGGAATTTAAAAAGAGGCATGGTGAGTATTTTGCAGATCTCATTTTTTCTCACAAAGTTTTGAAATATAAAAAAAAGAACAGAAAAAGTGTTTGTTGTTTTTCTTCATTTTCCAAGAACTTGTGGCAACAAATGAGATCTGCAAAATACTTACCATGCTTCTTATCAAATTCCTTGGGGTGTCTACTTTCCAAAAAGGGGTCATTTGGGGGGTTAGTTGCTATCCTGGCATTTCAGGGCCTCCGAAACTGTGATAGGAAGTCTGGAAGTGTAATGAGGAAATAAAGTCCTTTAAAAGCCTGAAGGTGCTTATTGGATTTTGGGGTCTTGTGCTTGGCTAGACTGCCAAAAGGTCTCTCACATGTGGTACCCCCATACTCGGGAGAAGTAGCAGAATGTATTTTGGGGAGTAATTCCACTTAAACCCATGGCATATGTGAGCAATAAATCATTTAAGTGACAATTTTGTGTAAAGTAAAAAAAAAAAAAAAAAAAAAAAAAAAAAAAAAAACAACTTGTAAAAAATAAATTCTTCTATTGATTCAACATGCCTCTCAGCAAATAGTTTGGGGTGTCTACTTTCCAAAAAAGAGGTTGTTTTGGGGGGTTGGGGCATTCTATGCCCAGCATGAGAAGTTTATGCCACACATCACTCACTGTTCTAACCACATGAAAACCAAGCCTTTTCTGACACTTTTTGTTTTCATGAAAAAAAAAAAAAAAAAAAAACAAAAAACAAATCAGTATTTTTTGCAAGGAAATTTGAACCTTTTTTTTTTTTTTTAAAGCAGACACCCTAGTGAATAAAATGGTGGGTACTGCATTTTTTTATGGCACATAGTACTCGCACAGCAATTTTTCAAAAGCAATTAAAAAAAAAAACAAAAAACAAAAAAAACAAAAAACACTTTTTTTACTTTTAATGCACAAAAACACAATATATTGGCCAATTATTTGGTAAGATATAAAAGATGATGGTATGCCGAGTAAATAGATACCAAACATGACATGCTTTAAAACTGCGCATGCCCCGTGCAAGGCCGACAAACTGCATACATTTTTAATATCCATAAGCAACACTTTAAACACCTTTAAAAGCTACCATTTTAGCTTTACAGAGGAGGTCTAGTGTTAGAATTACTGCCCTTGATCTAAGGTTCACGGCAATACCTCACCTGTATGGTGCAACTGCTGTTTACATACTGGCACAAGGTCAACGCTTGTGCATACAGGTGTGCGTGCATGAGAGGGGCAAGTTTTTTTTCTTTTGTTTTTTTAAGTTATTTTGATTTTTTTAATTATTTTTACACTGTACCTTTCATTTTTTTTTTTTTTATCACTTTTAATGCCATCACAGGGAATGCAAATATCCCCTATAACTTCAATGGGCATTGTCATATATTCTTTTTTGAGAAATCTGGGGTCTATCATACTCTAGATACCTCCTCTGCCCTTAGATTATCAAACCAAAATCTGTGTGACCAGATGCTTTCCCAATTTACAAATGGCGCTGTTTATATCTTTAGAAACTGAAGTGATGAAATGCTCGTAGCTTCCGAATTCTTAGACTATAGAGATGATTGGCACCACTCTGGTCTACAATCAGCTCTATAGTCAGCTGGCAGAAACACCGGCTGCATTCTCAGGTTCCCCCGATAGCACGGGACTGCCCGAGAAGGCCGTGGAAGGCACCGGGGAAGCATAATATCCCGCTGTAAAAGCAATCCTGCAGCCAATTAGCCACTACATTGCTTTTACATGAAAGCCGATCACTGGCTAAAAAAAAAAAAAAAAAAAAAAAACGATACCAGGATGATGCCTGCAGCTGTAGGCATCATCCTGGTATAACCAAAGCCCAGTGATGTACCAGTACATCGCTGGTCCTTGTTGGGTGCATATACTATGTTCTTTTTTTTTTTTATGCAGCCTGTGGACTGAATGAAAAGAGAAGAAATCTCTGCTGGAAAAAAGTGTGTGGTATGCCCACCATTAGAATATACTGCTCTGCATCCACCTACTTCTAATGGTGGGCACACATTAGGTCACACTTTGCCACAAGCGCCAGTTCCAAGATTGTAGAAATGTCTAAATAGTGGCACGCTTGAATAAAAATTGTCCACGTATAAGTGGTACCTCATATGGAAAAAGGATGACACCAAGTCCCAAACTATCTCGCCACTGCTCCCCATGTAGTCTGGGCATCCGGGGGGGTTCCACATGACTATCTTTTCCCTCGTAAATCTGAAACTTAAGTATAGCCTGTTGTCCCCTCACAGGTCTTCTACATCTTGACCCCATATCTGGCACGCTTGCTGGGGAGAAATTCTTTGAATGCAAGGCTGCCAGAAAAATTAATCAGGGACTCATCAACGCAGATTTTTTGCTGGGGAGTATAGACACCTGCAAATTTTTAGTTAAGGTGACTTGTGAGGGGCTGAATTTTGTGGAGCCGGTCAAATTCAGGGTCACCCCAAGGATGACAGAGTGTATTGTCGTTGAAATGCATAAAACACATTATACTCTCATATCTATGCCTGGCCATGGCAGCAGAGAACACGAGCATATGATGAATGGGGTCTGCGGACCAATACAACTGCAATTCATTTCTTTTAGTAATGCCCATGTTGAGAGTTAGGTCCAAAAAAAAATTTAAATTCAGAAACTGTAATGAGTTTCCATGCAACTGGTCTGGCAAGGTTTGAATTTGGGTTGGCGGCAATAAATTATTGTGCATATAAATTTCTTTGATCCACAATCAACGCATACAGATATTCTGTGAAAAACAGCTCCAAAAATCAAGGCGGTATGTAAAAGACCAAGATGTACTAGACCGCTTGTACTCGCCAGTTCACCAAAAGGCAGCGCGGCACTAGTACTGGCACTCTACTGCATATGAGAGTCATCAAAATTTACTGGCAAGTGCTAACAGAGATCAGGCCTGATTCTGCGAACACTGAGGTTTTGTGTGCAATGTATCAAGTGACAGTGACCTACTGACACTGCACTTGCTGGGGTAGAAGGGGGGCTAAAACGCAGGTGCTGGCAGGTGCCGGGGTGGATATCACTAATGCTTTGTTTTTGGGGACGCTATACTAATGTTAACGCTGGTATAGTGCTGATCTGATCAAAGATATTGATCCGTTCAGACACTATACTAGCAATGGAGGTTTATAGTGCATGAGCGTGCTCCTGGCAATCAAGGGGTTAAATGTGATGACTGGTGTACTGACGGGCAATCTGACGCTATCTGGGAGGGGCGTGAAAACCATGGGAGCACAAATCATGTAATATATATATATATAAAAAATTTTGCGCACCCATGCCGCCCTGTAGTAGTATTTCTGCTACAGGGCGGTCAGGAAGCGGTTAGTGTTACATCGATGCGTTACTTTAACTGACAAATGCGCGGTCATGCAACACTGCACCCAAATTAAATTTACATCCTTTTTCCCTCAAATTGAGCTTTCTTTCGGTGGTATTTGATAACCTGTGCGTTATTTTTTGCACTATAAAAAATAAAAATTTCGTCATAAATTTTGGCCAAAATGTATTCTGCGATATGTCTTTGCTAAAAAAAAAAATCCCAATAAGTGTAAATAATTGGTTTATGTGAAAGTTATAGAGTCTACAAATCGTGGGAAAGATACTGGGATTTTTTTTTTATACTAATAATGGCGGCGATCAGTGATTTATGACAGTGATCAGCAACTTATGGTGGGACTGCAGCAGACATTTTGACACTGGGGGGGGGGGAAACTGACTTGGGGACACTGACATCCCCAGTGACACCAAATACAGTGATCAGCGCACAAAAAAAAAAAAAAAAAAAAAAACCACTGACACTGTACTAATGGCACTGGGGAGGAAGGGGTTAAAATTTTTTAGGCAATGAAAGGGTTAACTGTGTGAGTGGAGTGTTTTAATAGGGGGCGGGGTGTGTGCTTCACAGGAACACACTGATCCTGAGAGATAAACTCCTCTCTCAGGATCAGTGTGTTAGGAACTGCCAGGGAGCAGAGCTGCATTGTAAACAATGCAGCTGTGCTCTGTGTCACTGTTTGCCAGCAATCGCAGGGATCCGGCAGGTAATGACCAGCCGGGACCCGGTGATTGACACCCGTGGCCATGATCGGCGGTACGGGTAGGACAGTCGCGCGCCCCCTACCTGTTTTGCAATATCACATTTTAAAAAGTGATTTTGCCCAGCGGTGCCACCTTGTGGCCGTTTTTTCTACAGTGGCTAGACGGCAAGCAGTTAAACTGTGCACGCTTTTGGAATGGTGCCAAACTATGGTATTTAAAAATCTCCATAGGTAGCGCTTTATAAGCCTTTACAGGTTACCAGTTTAGAGTTACATAAGAGGTCTGGTGCTGGAATTATTTCTCTCGCTTGGACGTTCACGGAGATACCTCACATGCGTGATGCAATCGCTGTTTACATATATGTATGAGACCAGTGCGTGCATTCGCCTTTGCACATGAGCAAGGGGAATGGGGGTGCTTTACATTTTTTTTTTTTCATTATTTTGTTTTGTGCACTGGCACACTGACAGATGTTTTGACATGTGGACAAATGATGCTTGATGCACTTGTGTGGGATGGCTGCAGATCTGTGTAAGTGATCAATAAAATCATTAGCTACATAGATCAGCTGTCAGTTTGCAGCATCCCCATCCCCCCCTCACTGAGCTCAGCAGAGGGAAACAACTAGAGACCTGTCTCTGTTGACATTCAGAGTTGGCTGTGACTGGACACAGCCATCACCTGATCGGGAGCGCTAATCAGATAGCCCATATTCCGATCTGTGATGTGCTGTGTACGAGAGAGACAGCCATCACAGAATTGCACTGCTGTGCAGCCTCAGGGCTGCATGCACGCACATGTTCTGAGGGACGTACAGGAACGTTCACTCAGAACGGGGAAGCTCCCACCTGGCTGTTTATGTACACAGTGGCTTAACCACCTCACAACCGCGTTATAGCCGAAAGACGGCTACAGCGTGGTTGTCCAGTTCTGGGAGGGCATCATATGACGTTCTCCCAGAACGCGCCCTCCCAGCGGCGTGCACCTGGCGCTGTCCATGATCGCTGTGTCTTACAGACACAGCTGATCGCATGATAAGATAAAAGGACAATCACAGTGGCCATTTAACCACATAGTCAGCGGTGTCCAGCAGATCACCAAATAAATACATTTGCAAGTTATTGGCAGCACTTTCCTCACGCTATCACAGCATGAGGAAAGTTCTGCCGATAACCAGCAAATGTCAAGAGGACATCTGCACCGATCATTAGGGCACTGATGATCAGTGCCGCCAGTCAGCGAAGCCCGTCAGCACCCATCATTCCTGCATATCAGTGCCTCCTCATCAATGCCCACCAGGGCTGCTTCATCAGTGCAGCCTATCAGTGCCGATCAGTGCTGCCTATCCATGCCACCTCATGAGTGCTCATCAGTGCAGCCTCATCAACGCACATCAGTGAAAGGAGAAAAAATTCCCATTTGCAAAATTTTATAATAGAGCATTTTTCTGGCAGAAAAACAAAATTTGTAAACATTCCTAAACGCTAGTACAAACTACGCTCAAAATTAGCGGGTTTTTTTCTTTTTTGCCAAGAGCACTGGCATTTTTAAAGCCAGTGTGCATGGAGCCTAAACTAAAGTATATATTATCTGGCATTACATTTAATGCATGGCAGCAAGTCAAGTAGAATTTGCAGAAAAAAAAAAAAAAAAAAAAAAAAGTGAGCAATGGAGGTCCCTACATTACTCTCAAAACTGGATTCCTATAGGGCAGTAATTTTAGCGATACCTTTTTTCCGTACTAGCAAAAAACATAACCGAGGAGACCATTATTCATCATGTTATATAGGTCACTTACAATGCCATATGAGTCCAAGATGTTTTCACTCACATACAACACTATCACTTGTTCACTTTTGTGTCATATTTTAGAAGAGAGTATAAAAGGCAAGCACAGAGACCAAATGTATTTCATGTTACTGGTATGCAATATAGAAAAAAAAAAAACAAAAAACAAACACAACAAAAAAACACTCACAAAATCCACACGATCCTCAGCTAGCCAATGGAAACATTTGAGGAACAGTAGAAGAGTGAAAAGTGCTACAAAGCGAGGGCTGAAATCATCCCGGAACACTGTGAAAGCCAAACAAGTTTCTGTAACAGCGTACCAGGAGCGCTCCAGGAGGTGCTGACACCAGAATTACAGCACAGAAGAAAAAAAAAAAAACAAACAAAAACAGAACAAAGATATATGTTACTACACAGAGAATGTCATTGTGGATACATAGGTTAACTGGTTTCAGCTGGACAGAATACATGACATTACCGAATATTTATAGTTCTATGGTACATACTGTATGTACTATATGCAGTTTCTAGATACAAGCAGCAGACTGAAAAGCTGGTGAGCAATCCACTGTGGCTACTAAAAGTCCAGAATATAAAATACATATAATAAACACAAGAGGCTAACATTTAAAATCAGACATTGTACAAAGATTTTTTCTAATGAAAACGTAAAGCTTGCAATGCACTCTCGTTAGAAGGTCAATTCCAAACAGACGAACACCAGGTTTCCAGAACATACTTTCCCATTGGAGAAACATGGGGATTTTCTAGAGAAGAACAGCAGCACCTAGTTTTTTGTAGTTCTCAATAGATGGTGATCAGTGCACTCATAGTCCATTAACACTTCCTCCAGCTTTCTAGCTGAAGGATGTGTCTGCAGGAGCCTGACATTGCACCCACAATCCACTAGTTGTAAGAACAATGCTTGGCAGACTTCAGTGGGGAAAAAAATAATACACATTTTCTCCTGCAAAAATATGTGCATTTGTTATTTTTTCCTTAAAAGTGAACATAGCCTTCCAGGTTCCAGTTCCAGGCAAGAACAGACCATACCATGATAGTCAGCACCTGCTCATATTAGACACACACCTGCTCCATGATCAAGTTTCGCAAATAACTGCACAGACAACCAAGCACTGCATTGTTGGAATGTAGGGGGAGTGTCACTTGTTACCCCATTATCAGATGTACCGGCTTTTTAAGGTGGCTGCAGTGAGTCAGTATGGCAGAGGGGAGCAAAGAAGGTGCCTACTGTAAACGTAGACATGGTTTGAACATAGGATTATCGTCAATCTTCGTAAAGTCGGCCATATATAGATTGGAATGTGTCCAGTTACACAGGGGCTGACTGACTTCTGTACAGCCTCCCTGCCCATACATGAATTGAAATTCAATCTACCACCCCGTTGGATTTTCCCTGCTTGATCAGAGCTGCAGGCTATAATTAGCAGAGCACTGATCAACGGATTCTAATGGCGGGGGAAGTCTTTGTTGTCAGAATACAATATCTCTGTGGGGAGGATTCCCCCAATCACATCAGGTGTGTGGATGGGGGAACTGAGTCAGTTTCATTTCATTCAGCCTGCTAGTTGAACAGAATATATGACTTGTCTATAGGCTGCTTAAAGGGTTACTAAACCCAGGACCCCGCATTCACTACATCTGGTCTCCCACAGTACACAGAACATGGAAATGCAATTATTTTAGTAAATATAAACTGCTAAATACCTTTTCTCATCAGCAGTATATAGCAGTCTTATGACTTCTACCAGGGTTCGGTTGAGCACTGGTTAATCTTGTAGGAGTTCTCATTCCTCTCTGACTGTCCTATGAGGTTGCATTACCCCTGACCCCGTCTGGGCAGCACTGACTGGCCCTGTGCACCCTCCCCAAAACCCTCTAGCATTGCACACAAAACTGAGCATGTGCATAGTTTCTCCTGGGGTTTTGTACTATTAGCAGATGGATTGGGAACTGTGAAAGAAGGGGAGGATTAGAGAAGACAGGATCAAGCAGCATTTTTACATGATGCGGAGGATTAACCCTTAGGTTCCACAGTGATGAGTACAACAAGCATGCTTTACTGCATATACAGACTGGATTTCTCTGTTGTGGGCTGAGTAAAACCAAGTGTTACATGGACAATTTCTACTAACCAGTTACAGAAAATATGTTGTCACACGCAAACATTGGGCAATAACAGGACAACAGAAATCCATCTATGAAATGATCATAGCCTGGGTCTAATTCAACATACATGTAACGTAGAGAACATACCAAAGTGGTCCATTTCCCAGCTTACCTCCATTTCAGCTGCTCTTAATTGACCAAAGAAAACCTTCCCCATAACTTTTCCTAACAGAAAGACCAGAACAAATGCTTGTATATAGAGGACCTAAAAAACAAAGAGACTAGTTAGATGGACATTAGCTTTTAACATTTCTGTTATCATGCATATATCAGGTACTGTTTGTGTTTATATACAATTCAGTGGCTCCATTCTGAATGTACACATAGGTGCTTTGTTGCCCCACCAGTGATGTTATACATATTCTTTGCTACTAGGACGTGCCTCCAGATGAAGTGATTATACCACCAAGTAATCACATACTAGCTTTACAGGTGGTAGAAGACTGCTTCTCATGTGTGTCTCCTAGGGGTCAGTTACGCCTTTTTGTTAAGGATGTAATTGTTAATATATATTTGTTGGCTAAGTGGAGTACATTAATAACCCTTTACTCCAGCTACTCCTAACTACAACTAAGCCCAAATGGGGTGAAAAACTGCAGCGAGGGGTGGCTACAGGTGGAGATTTTCAGCATGTCTATTCTGGCTGACTAAAACCTTTTTTCAAATGAACAGGCTAAAATCATACAGCATGCATTTCGCAGGTGAACCACACAGGAATGCACTTCATGGTTTGAAACGGTCCTTAAAATTATATATTTTTATTTTAAAACTATTATAGCTTTTCTTAAAAAGTTTAACCCCGTGTAAGGGAGATCCAGGGCACAACTAAAGCTAAAATATTCATGTGCTGCTTTAGGAAATAGAACCCACTTTTACTATAGGAGGCTCTATGCACAATGTTTTGCATTACTTTATTTGCCATTCTGTTTTTACTTTTCTTATACTCACAGCCATGCTAGGGCTTGATTTGGTGAGGTACACCACTGTTGGGTAGAACTGGTGCTTGAGGTAATAAGCATGTGCCACCACTGCAGCTGTGAGTGCCAGACTGGCACCCGTCATCATCGCCGTCCTCATCATCGCACGGAGTAGGGGGGACAGCTCCCTGTAAGAATCACAAAGAGAGAAAAGCTATGTAACCATTTAGGAAAGAGAAAGAGTAAATAGGACCTTCAATGCTGCTTTATATTCTTATTTAAAGGAAATAAAAAAACATAAAAACGTACTCCATATACTATACTAGATAAAAATAATTTGCTCTAGATACCCTTTTTTTCTATTTTGAATGGAGTAGAAAAGGTTCTAACTTTTGCTAGGTTATCATTGTCTGTATCCCGGTTGGGGAGATCCCTCCCTCTGGTGAGGATTGTCACCAGAACAGAAAGTGATGGGAAACCCAAAATTACCCAGCTGTCGCCAGAAACGGGGATGAGAGCAAATCTTCCAAGAAGAAAACTTGTAAGGCCTTCTTCACACTGTCAGAGGGGCAAGTCTGTTGGTCACCTTTCTGCCGGATGGGGCAATTCAGATGAACATCTTCACATTGCTTTTACTTGTCATGTCAATCTATGCATGCAGCCATTCTGAAAGTGGCAGTATTGCCTCCTACCTACCTCTAAACTGGCTCTAAGCCGTGATCTGAAAATCAATCTTTCCAGAGCCTGCCACCCAAGTGAAAGAAGCCCTACAATGACAACTGTCTAAAGGGAATTTCTCCTCATTCATTACTAAAAAGGAAAACCTGAGGGAGTTCTAATCATTCTCTACTAGATTAAAAATATTTTAGCTTTATTAGCTCTAACATACAAAAACAGCTGGTGAAGCCTATGCACACATGGTCTGATCTCCAACAAGATGTATGCCACTTCCTGGACTTATCGCCATCATTTACAACTGACAGTTTTACTGAGCACTGGAAGTAAAGCCATCACACCCAGTATTCTGACAAGAGAGACACTGCTCCCTCATACACAGAATCTCTGCCCACCCCTCCCCTCCACTGTTCATTCACAAAAGGCTTTGGATTTTATGTTCACATAACACAAAAGCACTCTGTGATTGGGTAGGAGGAGGCAAGCAGGCACAGTGGCTGCATGCAACTGCTGGAGCCCAGACCAGAGAGTATAGCAATAGCTATGCTCCTGGTGCTCAGTAAAAATGTAAACTGTAAATTAAAGAGATTAAAAAGATGGCATGCACCTCATTTGATTTAACCCCCGTAATCCAGAACATATTACAAAGTGGCTGAATTCCTGGACTTCAGCTTTAAGATTTGACATCACATCTTTAGTCTCTTCAACTGAAGGTGGTCTTTAGAGTCTGTGATAGGCGGAGTCCTAACAGGTGGCTTGATCTGTAACAACCAACCCCCCAAAAAGTCACAAGTATTGATGGGCCTTTAACGTATAAAAAGATACCCAAGTACTTTCTATTTTCATCCCCAGCAGACTGTAAGCAAAACACTATTAAAAAGCGCCATGATGTTCATTTTCTTGCGAATAAGAATCAGAGCCCAGTCCTTAGAAAGCATAAAACAGAGAACATTGAATAAAATGCACAACATGAACCATCTCCATCCTACAACTTCATAAACAAGATATTAAGCTAGGTTCACACCTTCATGTTTTTAATGTATGTTGGTGCATGTCTGCACACTTTATTCATTTTTATCCTTTATCCTGCATTTTTCATGTTAGCCAATAATAAACTAAATTATTTGGCCTGAAATCATACACACGTTTTTCATGCATTACCACTATGGGACTCGAGCCATTATGAAAAAAAAAAAAAAAAAAAAAAAAAAAAAAGAAAAGAAAGAAAGAAATGTGCTGCATTACAGTGCACAGATATGGATAGGCTCTATCTAGAACAATGCATTTGATGACATATGTGTTTTCCAACACACACATGTGAAGAGACTTTCTGTCATAGGAAAACATAAGCCCTATGTAGCAAGCTGAGGTGAGTGGTACCAATACATGTTTTGCAGGAACACAGTGAAAAACAGACAGCTACGGCATTGTTCTTGTGAAGTCCTGCAATCCAGGTAGCAGACATTCTTCAAATTGTTGAAAGCATATTTCAAAGGACAGCAGTGCACATTGGACAACAAAGTAAAACTAAAAGGCTGTATAAAAACTCCTCTAAAGGCTTGTTCATACCATAACGTGTATAATGCGAAAGCGCTAACCTGCTTTATTTTTACCCGCACCACAATGCATTTTTAAAGTATATGTGAACCCTCACCTTGTAAAAATAACTTATTCAGTTTAAAATAGAAATGAAAGGCAAAACATTTGTGAATATATATATATTTTTTCCTTTTTTTTTTTATCTAAAAACATAAAAAAGGTTTGCGCAGGGAGAAGCACCTCACATTTCAGGTGTGTGTGTGCAAAAGAGAGAGATTCGGGTGTTGAATGTGACCACGTTTCATGTTATACCCTAAATAAAGGCATAACATGAAATGTGGTCTATACTTTTAAAATTACCCACACTATGTAATAGGAGTATCTGTCTAAACTATCCAGTCAATTTGTATCCAGACATGTCCTTGTACTACACAGCTGTTGCTAGATTGTAAAGATAAACTGAAACAAGTGTGGTGAGCTTTAGGCTGGCCATACATTATACAATTATCTGCAGATTTTCTGCCCAATTTCCTTTAGATTTACCTTCAACTATGTAGTGTAAGGGCCTGCCTAATTGGATACAACAAAGTGTTGTTTAGGTTTGTCCTCCTATTATTCCCAGTAACAATCGCTCTCAGGCTGCAGGTACATCGATTGTGGTCCATTAGCTGGAACAGGTTTGCAACTGAGCGTGGCATTGTTACGCACAGTGACAGCGTGGTTTTTATATTGGCTAGTCTTCGGTCACAAGTTGGTGAGAACGTCTGGGGGTCCGACGACGCGACCGTCACAGGTAGTATGTACAGGGACAGAAATGTTGAATGTATGGCGGTGTGGGTAGTTATGTGCGGGGGATGGTGGCAGTAGTTCTTTATTATTTTTAGCAATTTATTGTTTTCATTATTTTTGATGGTGGTCAGTAGAGGAAAATGGAGTGGGTGTCATTGTAGATTGGGATGAATAAACAGAGAACCTGCAACCCCCTAATATCACACATCCTATCACAGGTCCTCCTGTACATCTGATGGTCACCACATAGGAGACCAACTACTGCCAAAAGGCTGATGACACCAAAATTTAAACTTCTTTGGCTGCAACTCATGAATTGCTATTTGACTGGAGGAGGAAAGAAGAGGAAAGAAGAGGAAAGAAGAGGATAAGAAGAGGGGAAAGAAGAGGGAAAGTCGAGGAAAGAAGAGGATAAGAAGAGGAAAGAAGAGGATAAGAAGAGGAAAAGTAGAGGAAAAGAAGAGGACAAGAAGAGGAAAAGGGGTGGGGGGGGAGGAAAAAAAGGGGGAAATAGAGAGAGAGAGAGAGAGTGAGAGCGGGGGGGGGAAGAGGAGAGTGATGAGAGAGAGGAGGGTGGGAAGAGAGAGAGAGGAGAGAGACGGAGAGGGAGAGAGAGAGAGAGATGATGAGATTAGAGAGAAGTGAGAGAGGTGAGAGAGAGAAGACGAGAGAGAGACGAGGCAGGGGGGCGGAGGGGGGAGACGAGCAGAGGGGGCGGAGGGGATAGATGAGATGAGGGAAGAGAGAGAGTGAGAGGGAGGGCGGAGGGAAAGAGAGGAGAGGTGGGAAAGAGAGAGATGAGAGGGGGGGGGGGGAGGGATAAGAGAGAGAGAGACGAGGGGGGGCGGAGGGATAAGAGAGAGAGTGTGAGGGGGGAGGTGGGAAGAGAGAGTGAGAGAGGGGGTGGGGTGAGGTGGAAAGAGAGAGAGATAGAGGGAGAGGGGGGAGGGAAGAGAGAGGATGAGAGAGGGGGGGGAGAGGGAGAGAGAGAGGAGAGAGAGGGGTGAGGAGATGGAATGGAGAGATGAGAGGAGAGGGGGAGAGGGCAAGGAGAGAGAGAGAGAGAGGGGGAGGGAATGAGAGAGAGAGAGACGAGGGGGGAGGGAATAGGAGGAGGAGAGTGAGGGGTGGGAGGGAAGAGAGTGAGAGAGGGGTGGATGGGAAAGAGGGAATGAGGAGAGGGGGAGGGAAGAGGAGAGAGGAGGGGGAGGGAAAGAGGAGAGAGAGAGAGAGGGGAGGAGGGAAGAGAGAAGAGAGTGAGGAGAGAGGGAGGTAGAGGAAGAGA